TTTTGTGCGATTTCCGGAACGCGCGAACGCGCAATGGAAATTATTATTTTTCAAATAATCGACTTGATAGCGCCTTGATATCGTTCTAGAAAATTCGCGTAGGAAGGCTCTGAATCTCGAAATATGGATGACGGTTGTATCGGAAACTACTACTTGCACCATGACCCCGTCGTGTAGATATCCTTCCATTTTCGAAGAAGATTCTATTAACGGTTGCAGGTTCCCCCTGTAGTTGGAAAAACGGACCAATATTTTTACCGCGGTACCTAGGAGCACTACTTTTAGTCTAAGAGCACATTTTAGCATTAGAAATGCTTATGTTTTGTGTATGGGTATGAAGTTACCAGTTTCGTCAAGTAGAAAAGAAGACAGCGGTGTCGCGTCAAGAGTTGATTGTACCGTACTCGGCGACAATCGGTAGATTAAAGAAAAGTGGCGGATACTGTCGATATGGTACTTAATTATTAGTGCGCAATTGTTTTGGTAATTCCAATCTAAAATTCTCGCACATCTCCTTTAATAGGATTACAAGCATGATAAGGCTTATTATTCAGAAAGTGTACGTGATGCCGTGTGAAAAAGTCTTATTTGTGTTTTACATATGGCGTTATACGGTTATCATTTCCAATGGTTGCATGGATTGCGAAATGTGTACATTTTTTTAAAGTTTTATTGCTGTTGATATTTGGATATAAGATAGTTATGTATATGCTAATAACATATTCAAACGTCTGGCAGCAGTTTCGTGGATGGCGCTGCGGTGGTGGGTGGTCGAAGATTTTGAAAATTCAGTTTTCTTATTAATGAACCTTGCTTAATTTAATTTAATTTATTTATGCAAGACTTTGCGGTATATAGACTTTAAAAGACTCCATTAATTACACGTAACAGGCAATTTATAATATCATAAAAAAAGGCTATCACTGCCGTCCGATTGGCGCACATGACTAGATCCCCGTTGTAACGGAATTTCTGTATACAGGAATTTTTTTAATTGAATTATTGAATTCCAGCGGAATGTACCTACGCTAAATAGGTTTATACATTCTGCGAAATAGTCGGGGACACATTTCAAGAAAAAAGGCACCCCTATGAATTCAAGAAGCCTTAATTGCCCTAAATTTTCTAGAAGTCATCGGCAAGCATATGGCAGGAAGTGGTATTCTTACTGAGGGATCTGTCAAAAAAGTCTTAGAAGGCAAGGCCTACTCAAAAGGCATGAGGGTCCACAAACTAACTCTCCAGGTTTTATGGTGCCACATCTATCCGTAGTTTGTTGATTACCTGGACGAGCACTCATTTGGTGACGGACAAGATCTCAAATTGGCTGCTACAGATCCTAACTCAATAAGAAATTATTTACGGTCTGTGAGCGATTTCTGAAGGAGTGCTGTGAAGAGGACAAGAACTTTGCCTTGTGGTGTAGCTTATCAATACTTTGGCCTCAAACCCAAAACCTGTTTCAAAGAAGAGGCTCCGCCTCGTAAGAAGACAGATTCTTCGGATGAAGATGCAATATTCCATTTGATGAAAACATTTCATTTGATGTCACAGGAAGCTTTTGACGTTGTCTCTAACATCGCCTCAAACGACAGGGATACACAGAATCTCTTCTTCGTGCCAAAATAAAAGGCTCAGAATTGATGCAAAATTTTGTTGAGCAGCGTTTGGTAGAGTTGCATGGCACACCTGTGTTGAAGTGGTATTAAAGAGGCGATCTCCTTTAGGCGTTCCAGAGCAGGATTTGTCGTGCTCAAAAGCCACCCAAGCGAGGGGTGAGCCTTGGGACACAAGTGCTGGGGAGGGGGGAGAGTCTATTTTATGAATTGTCGTGGTAGTGTGACTTGAGACGTATTTCAATACGCAATGACATTTCTTCTTCAAAATTTTCATTATTTCCACTAGAAATTATAAAGTATTTTCAAAATTGTTTCTTTCATTAAAATGTTGTTTAATTATAATTATTTGATCGACCTCTTCACCATTGAAAACCCTCATCCCGACGTTTAAAGTGCGTTAATTGTTCCACGCAGGTGAAAAAACCATGCATGCGCATCCGGTTTCAGACGCCAACTTGAATACACGACTTCCGGTGCAAAATCCGGTTTGGCAAACGGCAGATTCGGATTCAGTGGGGTCGAAATAGGGGATATCAGTCGTTTGCTCAATTGTTATCCGATTTGCTTCTTGAATTCCGATATTTTAAAATGTGTCCCCGACTAAAAGTGGATTGTTGTGGTTTCACTTAAGTACATCACATTCGCTGCTTGTGAATGTTCCACTGTTCTGTATCGCGTACGGGCGGGCGGCGCAGCGGTTCGAACCAGAACCAATTGCATGTAGAGGCCCCTTACTTAGATCCGGAACAAAGTTGGGGTAACGCTTATGCGCTCGATTCTCCGTCGTCTGTCTGTCTGTTGCATCGAGATCTCGGCAACTGGGCCACCTATAGAGACTTCGAGTTTTCCCTAATTAATAGCTGCTATGGTCTATATTTGCCCGTTGCTCATCATTTACAGTTGTGTTACGCGGCAACACTCACGAGTGGGTTTGGAAATTTTTTTTTCATGAAATGCTTAGGTACTGTTCCCTATACACGCCATTATACAGGTATGAAATAGTTAGATAGTTAGCGACAGAGTCCGAGGGCATCCGAGGGTTAAATATCGTGTAATGCCTGAGGTGCCTACAAAATTTTATTTTTCATAATTCCAAATAATGTATTTCCAATATACAAATGTAATGATTATTGTTTTCCCAACATTAAAGTGCTTCGTACGAATCAAGTAGCATCTTTTTTTGTTACATAAAATAACTCCATCAATATATTAGACAGGCCGTTTGAGGGCATAATGAGATGACAATCCATTATGACCTCTCTTTACGCCCTCGGACCTCATAGACTGCTTTATCCAATAACTTTGACGGGATCATATTTATTGGGAAAAACGAGGGGTAATTCACGCGAAAAAATAGTGTACACCAGACAGACTTCAAGTGATATCAGATGACTTCAAGTGACTTCATAATAATTTCAGCTGATTTTTCAAGTGATTTCATGTGACTTCAAGTGATTTCAGATGACTTCGAATGATTTCAAGTAATTTCGTTATTGCTAAATCAACAACGAAGCTAATGCTGCCTTTTGTCTTTAATCCCTAAAGTTTTTACAGTTTATAAAGCGTATAAGAACACCAACTAACAATATTTACACTTACATTTTGTGCTTAACAGCATTGAATAAGTAACTTATTCAATGTTAACACCTAATATAATATATATATAATATACAGGTTTTATCAGTGTTTTTTAATTGTTTTAGAAATACAACTATAAAAACAAAACAACAATCCTAAAATTATAAAAACAGAAAAATAAACTTCTCTTTAAGTTCCTAAAAAATACAATAATAAATACAAAACAATTCTTAAGGATAAATAAAAAGCGAGCTAAAAAGTTAAATTTCTATTAAAGTTTAATTCAAAGTTTTAGGTTTTTTTTGGACTTCATAGCTTTGTAGAGGAAAGTCGCCTATTATCGCATACTTTTTGAAATTCGTTGATAAAAAATACTAAATTTTTCATAATCACGTCTACCTCTGGTAAAAGAGTTGCGGAATATCAGTTCTTGAGTTCTACAAACCCATTCACCTATAACGCCACAAAACTTTTCAAAAATTTGAAAACATGTTAGCCATGCATTTTTCAGAGTCTCAATCTAGGTAGCATAATATCCATTGAGTTAGAAAACAAATGGAGGGAATCAAATGCTTGGCCAGACGTAGACCACGGGAACCAAAAGTGGCCTCTAGCTGTGATTAAAGTACCACACCACTTCCGTTATCATTAGCGTCTCACTTCAGTGGCGTAGAGATATAATTTTCTTTCCACTGATAGGAATAATAACAAAAAAACATATAGAAGGAGTAAAATACATGCTCGTGGTAAAGTAAACAAAATAGACAAGGATGGGAAAGTATGCAGATTTAATATAATCATTGATTACAAATCTAAATATACATCGATGTGTTCCAGTAGTATAATTAAGGCCAGTTTACTACAGCCGCTACAACTTGACAACTCCCATTAAATTCACTGTGTTGATCAATAGCTACAATTTACTGGTTGGTCTCAGGTTCGTTACAACGGCAGAGAGATTCAATAATAATTTATTGTTTACTGGTCTCAAAATGTATCCGCACTCGTAAAAAAACTTACACCTGATATCCATATTATAAACTCACACGTTTAGCTGCAAAAACAAGTTTTGATAGTACCTACTGCATATTTGATGAACATTTTCCGCCTTTCCGATGCAACCTTTGGTCGAAATCACAGTCAATGAAGCGTTGTGAGCACAAAAGCAAATTTCAAGAGCTGTTCTTGAGATATATTTACAAATGTTAGGTAACCATTTTGCTCGAAGTACTGGTTCGTTTGGAAAACTAAGAAACATAAACTGGGTACCTACAACCTCGCCTACAACATGATAAATGACATGCGGCAGTTAGTTATTTATATAAACCAGAGCACAAACCGATCCGAAATTATTAGGTACTTTAAAATGGCAAATTTAATAAAATTTGAATTTGGTGGAAAACTGACAGTGGCAGGACCCGCGTTTTCATATGTCAAATAATGTCGGCAAAAATGTACCTTCACGGGAACCTATCCACGCGAGTGGCCTCTATCTGTGGCAACTTCCGTCTACAAAAATTCTTACCCCCTCTACCATTATATTCCCTCCATTAGTTTTCTATCTCAATGATAATATCGCACAGTGAGTGTTCTTAATATCGCACCATCCGATATTAGGAACATATTGTGAAAAAAAATAGCACTAGCCAGATAAAACCTTTATTAGATGACAGCAGATGACAGCAACTATATTTAACAAAATCTTTGGAAAAAAACAAATAAAATTCGTAAAAATCAGTCTTCTAAGGAAATTATATATAGGTACCTCTTAAATAAATGTAGAAAGGGTTAAAAGAAAATAAATCACGTATCTAAACATAAATCACAAACAAATCCTTCAATTTTATCAACACCTGCGCACTCCTCATGAGCCCAACGGTAACATCCACTGCATTTTATCCAGTCTTCTCCTCTGATATCTTGGGAAAAGAGGTTGGTACAATATACACACTCGGCATCTTCTTCATCTCCATCCATGTCGTCTTCTGATTCTATAAATTTCACTTCCTCGTCGTCATTCTCGCTAGATGAACTTGAAACTTGCCTCTTTTTGGCCGTCTTCTGTTTGCCTTTTGCTTTGGATAGCGGAACTTTTTTCTCAGTTGCCTTCTCGTGTCTGCTCTTTGTTTTATTTTTCAAATTTCCTCCTTTCATATTTCTAGGAGTAATCTTCAAATTCTTCCTTTCTAACGCTAATTCAAGTTCGTTTTTATATGGAGATCCTGTTATTAGTGCAGTAGAACCCCGTTTTCCTTTGCTTGTGGTAGGAGTGGAAGAACAACTCGGTTCCTGTTGAGATTGTTTGAGGCGTAGGACAATTTGGAGCTATATTTTCATTATCGCTCTCTTCTTGTGATGGTGGTGGAGTTCTTTCTCTTTGTGCATGTATGGCAAAATCATCATCCCTGAACATGTGTCTATTTACAGGGAAGATTCCACACTTCCGGAACCCATTCACCGCCACTTCTACACTTGCAGCACGCAGGTAAGATTCACCCATTAATTCTGCTATTTGGTAAGCGGTCACCAATCTGCCTGGATTGTGCTTGAGCCATCTTTCAATCGCCTGAGCGTAATAAGTCTTGAAAGGGGACATAAAAGCCACATCAAGGGGTTGCAGCTTGTGTGTGGACTGTGGAGGTAGGCAGACAATGTGGATGTAGTTTTCACGAGCTATATTAATTATATCAATATTTCTTGTATGGGAGTAGTGGCCATCTAAAATCAAAACAACTTGGTCATCCACGCAAGGCTTCACATGTTTTATGAAATGATGAAACCAAGCTGTGAAAAGGTCTTGCTGTATCCAGCCAGAGGGGTGACATTTTGCAATGGTTCCTGGGGGGGCTCCATCCAATAGCTCTGATTTCATGTTCTTCCTAGGAAACACTAGCATAGGCGGTACATACATATACACCTGTCGCATTCATGCAAGTTACTACAGTGACAAGTGCTCCTCTTTCAGATGCCGTTAAAGCGCCCACTTGTTTCTTACCACGCAAGCTAAGAACTTTTGAATGCTTATGTTGAACGGTGGTTATGCCTGTTTCGTCAACATTGAACACCCTTGCCGGATTCAGATCAACTTTCTTGACAACTTGCTCCAGGAGGTCAAAAAATTTGTCACAATTTTCTCAAGTTAACCCCTTAATTCTTGCTGATGAGATTCCTTGAGGTTTTCGGAATCTCAATTCCGGGTGTCTCTTGAGGAATCCCTTAGGCACTTCTTCCCAGCACATCCCTTGCCCTCAGAAAATGGATGTTTTAAACCATTTCTTATGGCCAGTTGAAATGATAGTCTTCTTATGTCGGAGGCAGTTAGTCCAAAAAAATTTTTCTCCCAGTCAAGGCAATGATCAGCTAAAAGTTTTTCTAGATAATCAGGTAAAGCCGACTTTCGCCCAAGCTTTAAAGCTATCTTCTCATCTACAGGTTTCTCAGACTTTACATAATCTCTTAAAGTACTACGCGGTACACCAAATGTTTTTGACGCTTTCAAGTAGCCCATTTCTTTATGCCTAACTACCTCAAACAACTTGGTAGACGTCTCCTAATATCGCATATGCGATATTGAGATACCACCACTATGCGGTTTTAGGAGACATAACCTTCATAAACTCACTAAAGAATTTAGATGAAAAAAATGAATAAAGGTTAGCAAGTTATACATGAATAGAAAGCATCCTCTATTTACTGATGTATTACAAATTGTAATTCAGATTAATTTACCTTTTCGAACTAAGCAGTCTGCATTAACATGCTCTCAAATATTCTGACAGCCACTGGCGGAATAAACGCAGATTACAACTTTGTGTCAACGATTTGAGAACTGTAATATTCACAGAAACCTTAGCAGGTACTTCACTAATGATTAACATATAAACCGATAGATGGCACATTTTGGTTTTTAAAATAACTGACTATGCGGTATTAGGAACCTATGCGATAATAGGTGACTTTCCTCTACTTCTTATCAATCTTGGACCTCTCTTTTGGCTCAAGGTACATAGGCACGTGCCCAGACATTGTAATAGGGCACATCATCTCTTTTTGGCCAAATATATTTGTCTGTAAAAACTTGACTTCATACTTGTCTGTCAGTTCATTCGTAACTCTTCCCATATACCATGTATCGTCATAGTACAAGGCGTAATACTTATCTTTGTTAACAGTTACTTCTGCTGAAATTGCCATCTTTCCCGCGAGGCATCTCACTATAACAGTTCTGGTGTGGCTGTTCGGTCGGTGAACAACCAGCACAAAGAAGATTTTGAAACAGTGTAACTTTTGCCCCCAACATATACTTCTAAAGTGTGTTTGCTATTTGTTTTATTACTTTTTTAATTCAGGTGATCATTGAAGCTGATTTTTTAATTCTGGAGATAGTCTCATCATCTTCGCCTTCAACATTTTTGTCATCTTTATTTTCTCCAAGGCTGTTTAATAAAGTTACGTCAACATTTTCGGTTTCATTAACGGAAGGCTCAATATACCATACCAAATAGCATTACATTTAGGTTAGTAATTATCGTGCAAATCAAAAAATAAACATGGAAAATCGTATTTAACTTGAACTTCCAAAGCCGACTTGACAGCAACTCATTTTTGGTCGCCAGTTATAATCTATTCTCAAACTCTTGTCGAACCTTTTCAAATGTTGGTTTTGCAATATTTCGACATTCTTGAATTATTCTCTGTCTTAGTTCGTCTAATGTTCGCCGGTTGCGTTTTAAATACGACAGATTTCAAATGTATCATATTAGTTTATTTTTTGATTTTCACGATAATTACTAACCTAAATGTAATGCTATTTGGTATGGTTGGAAAGCATTTTTTCAGAGCTTTCCAACGACGTATCACACATGGGGGGTCACTATTTAAGATTTAAAAGTTGCAGTGGCTGGGGCGCAGGGGGTTGGAGGGGGTGCGTCGCCAACTATGTCATTGTGATTCCCCCTCCAAATTACCGAAACGGATTTTGATTTTTTTAAATATCTCGTTTATTTACTAAGATATGGGGGGTGGTAAGTTTTCAAATTGTCACCCTGTATATTTCATCGTTTGGTGTAAGAAATTGATCAGACAAAATTAATATAATACTTTTCATTCAGATACTTGTCGCTAGATGCACGAGAAGGCCATTAAGCATGGATAATATGGTTTATGATACCCAAATTAATTAGTTTTAATATGCATAATAATACATTTTTGTTCTACTTCTACGGAATGGAAGTATTTAACGTTAACCCTAACTTCACCTGCAATTAACGCAAATGTACTATTCGCGCTTTTTCTCTGAAACCTAGATCTACCCATTATAACTATCCTATATCGAACCTCTCGCAATTTGACAAAGATTAATCTTTAATACGCCATCTTAATTCATGTATCTCAAGTATATCATTTTGTGTTTCGTGTTGATGAACATGTATAGGTTGCTGTTGATTAAGGATGCGTATAACATAAAAACGCGCCTTGCAAGCAAACATAATAATTTAATTTCTACAGTACGTGGACTTGAGTTTTTCTGATTATATCCTTGACGAGCTCCCACTTCACGACGTTGCAAGCACATGAATAATTCAGTCACGTTAGTACTCTAGTTTTGGACACGGCTTAGTGGCGCTTTTTGTGTCGCCAATTCATCAGTCACTCTACTACTCATCGTATCATCCTAAACTTAATTTCTCGCTCTGGCAATTATTGCGTCCATTGAAAACGGGACCTTGTAAGACGTCAGCTTGGCGGTTGTTTAATTTTAAGCACATAATCTATTTTGCGTTTTAAAATGTAACCATGTTAGGCAACAGAATTTGAGATAACATGCCTAACATTAAAAAAATGATGAGATTAACCCACATTCCCTTTAATTAGAAAGGTTGCGTAATCATAACGGGTTGAATAGGAGGGTAATAATAGAACTCCGGGGAATATGGTTAAAAAACCGGGTAATTGATTATAACGATGTTGTCAGACATGCATGCATAATAAATTTTAAACGGGCGAAGGGTGTTTGCTTTAAATTTTCCATTAACAAAGTGTGATCGTTTAAATTGGCGGGTCCAATGCGTAGTAGAGTTTAGAACAATTTTGCGCTACAACTCATCAAACAGCATCACTGATTCCGAAACATTTAATAGAAGATGATCGTAAAAGCGCATTAATTTTTGCAATTTACTTGAACGTGATATAGATGTAGTCGCGATGTTTATAATTACATTTCGTTCATAATAAACTATTCAATCCATCGCGTTTCGATGCAACACCTCATTAACAATATTACCTATTATATAACGTGTACTATAGTGTCACACATGTTACGTTTATTTTGTAAGTAATGAGTGATTCATTATGACCTTTGTAACGTTCCGTTGAATGTACTCCAATCTTTGTGAACTGCCGAATGAGCTCAGTATGTTTTGCATAGTTGGTACCATTTAGTTTGCGGAAGTGATCACTTTTGCTTTGTAGTGCAAATGACAGGTTGATCTTTGCGAAAAATGTTAATTTCAATTCGAAAATTCAAACTCATGACCTTACCATTGTTTAAATTGATTTATCTAAGCGTCTTAACGCGAATGGGGATTGGCTAGCCTTAATCTAAGTAAGGATATTGTCATACGTTGTTTACAATATCATCCATTATTTATAGGTTAGTTTATATCACATGTTCCTGAAAAATTCGAAGATGATTATATCATCTATTCCCTATTGTATTGTAACGTGATTTATAAATTCGGGTTCGATTTATTTCAATATTTATTAAACAAAACTAAAACACTATAAAAACCGTACAATTTATATCGATTATTTATATCACACACTTCGCAATTTATATTTCCGCGCTCGATGTTTCATACGTACTCGATCTCGTTCGGTAGTAGACTGCCGCGATGTTCGGTCCGCAACCATTTATACACGCAAGCAATGTAAGTCCAGGAACATTCGCGTACAGTCTCGAATATTCCTACACAAATCCCACTATCGCGCGCGTAGAAAATTCCAGAGCGCCAAAGGTGACGTCATGTCTGGAGCGTTTCCGTTAC